TTTGGATTTTTGAAATTTATCCAAAACGCCTCAAGAGTTTTGCGCGTTGATGTTTTTGATTCCTGCGCTAGGATCCGCACATTCACTTCAAAATCATCTCCCTTGTGCTTTTGTGCTCTATGCGTACCTAGAGGGGTGCTTAAACGTATTTTAGCTTAACCATCTAGATGTTCTTTAATGCGGACACAAAGTGGTCTACCCGTTTCCCCAATACGTTCTTTACCGGATGCGTTACATAAGATCAGGTATATTATACCTGAACTCACGCAATCCCCGTCTCTCCCGGTTGGACAGATCGTACAGATTTTCTGAGCTGCACAGGCGATCATAGAGACGGTTTCGAACTAACTGGCGGCGTGGGGTATTGGGTGGGATGTCAATAATCGTTACATATTTTTCAAGACCACTTTTTCTTAAGCACTTTTTAATGGCGTGACTTACTTCATTTGATATGAAGGGCAGCTTAAAGGGGATCTCACTTGCGTCCAGAACAATATTTTGGGGAACTACCCCACGTTTTTGTCTAACCCGAGTGGCTTCTACTTCGTAGCCATTGGAAATGGCTATTTTTCCTGCCAGGTTTCGCGATTCCTTCCTTTCCTCTTCTCCTGTGCACACATTTTTAGCCGTACGGTACATGTTTTTGATAAGTGTTTTTTCATGTGTGAAGGATGAGAGGAGAGGTAGTGAAATAATATGTTTTTACTACTTGGCTTGCGATACCATTTTGTTTTATAGCCACTTACTGAGAGCTTTACTTGGATGTTTATGAATGGAAGCCAGTTCTCGGTGGGTTTTTCCGGTGTAAATTTTACGTATTCCGACTGTCTATCTAACAAACAAAAGCACTTATCCATCTGTTCTTGTGTGGAACAGACGATGAAGCAGTCGCCTATGTATCGACACTAGAGTAAGGGTCAGCGATCGAGAACTGAAGCTTCCATCTTAGACATGAAAGCGATGGCAAGGCTTGGCGCTAAACGCTGTCCCATGGCCAACCCTCTAATTTACACAAAATATTTTCCAGACCACCTGAAGCTTGAACAACTAGTACACTGTTTTAAGAGAGTCATTAGTTGCGCAATCGACATGCCGTACATTTTTATTTTCTTTTTGTGCTCTACGAGCAACTCGAGAATAGTTTGTATTGCGGAGTCATTCGACTCGTTGGTATAAAGTGAAGTAACATCGAATGACACCGTTACATGCGTGCTGCTTGGTCACGCGCGCCTTAGGTGGTCCAGAAAAATTTTGGTGTTAGGTAGATGGGTTGGAATGAATTTTAGCAGCTGGGTTAGGATAAGGCTTATTAACTTTATATGGTGATGGGTACGTTGATGTAATATCATCAGTTGAAGTAAGCATATGTGTTTTAATATGCAAGTAAAGGACAGGGCAAATCGGATGTTCGTTTTTAAGTCGAGAAGTAACTGAAGGCTCTATACCCGCTGCCTTTGCCGTGCTTACCCATTCTTGATTTAATTTTCGGTATTGATTTCTATATTTCTTTTCAGAGCATGCTCGATAGAGAGAAGCATCATTGAGGTGCTCCTCTGTTATCCTAATATCCAGCTGACTAGGAAGAACTACAAATTCTCCACCTTTATCACTAATACAAAGTTTAACAGATTTTGAATTTAAGAGCTTTCTAACCTGGCGCATACCATATTTTTGTCGGTGTGTGAGGTAGGAGTTTATTTTTCGTTTTTGCTAGTGATTAACTATGAGAAGAATTTCGTCCGGAAATAAACGAAATGTAAGGTCAGCATCGCTATTTGGTAGCTCTTGTTTAAAGAAAGTTCGGGGAAAGGGTATTGGTGGTCGTTCCCCCCTTGGTACTACTTTACCTAACTTTTCTAACCTAACCCTGTAACGTAGCTGATCTTGAGTGTTCATGTAGACTACACGTGATCCTGCGCAGATTGGTTTAGAAATGGGTTGACTAGGCGCGAAATTCAGACCCAATTATAACAAGGAACGCACATTTTCAGTGAAGCGTTATACCTCCTAGCACAGTAACCCTGGATGTTCTTGGTGCGCAGTCTATTTCAGAGTTTTTACTTGCAACTTGACCAGCGGTGGTCCTATGATTTGGTGGTAGTTCCCCTTTAAGCTTTTTGAGCGGCGTGATAGACTTTCAAACTTTTTCCCTAATTTGCTCTTAATATCACATCGAATCTTTTCGCATACCGATTTAGACCCAACTACTATTCTCTTCCAAAGATTCCTCTCCAAATGCTGAGCAAAATGGTTTTCTTTGTACACACATTTGTTTAATGGTGAAAACATTTCGTTTTGTGTGCACCGCAATGCCGGTAAGCCGCATGCTTCGTGTAATTTCCTACGTTTTATAAAGCTAGGAATAATTCGATTTTTTAAGCAGCGGTGTAGAACGTGGGTCATTTGTCGCATTAAGACGATTTTACGGACGGCGGCAAAACTCTTGAAGCGTTTTGGATAAATTCCAAAAATCCAAAGATGAACCGGAAAGACGAATGCCTCATTATCATGCGTGACCTGGCGCCCTATTTCAGAATGGTATTTTGATCCCGGGGTTTGTCTTGCTCAGGAGCCCACGTAAACAACGCGTGGGCCAGAAGTCACTGAAACGTCACCCATCGACCAACAACATCAACAACAACGACAACGACAACGATAACGAAGACCTGTACCAACCTCGCATCAGCTTAAGAACATCAGTTTATACGATCATATGAATAGATAAATCATGTCATTTACAATGAAAATATTTTGAACAGAGTTTTAGATGACTGGCACATCAAGGGCGAGCCGACAGAGGGCTATGGGCTACTCGTATAGAGGTCCAAAAGCTGCTCTGATTGCGTCCACACCACCACTAAATAGTTGCCCGAGAAAGGAAAAAAGGTAGAGCTAGATCCAGCCGCAACATACCTCCCACGGCTGCAATAATTCGATGCGACAATGATATCAAATATTCTGAGAAATTTCAGAATCACAAGACAGTTGACTCCGGCCGGCAATGTGGCAGTGTGAAACCAGGCCATTTCTCTGCCCCAACACCCGAAAGGATGTTTCAAATAAACCGCGCTCTAAACGTATTTAGGGAAATTGCTTGCTTCATTCATCGAAAGAAGAAAGTAATTGAAATGAACAAGATCGGAATGAAATTCATGACATCGTCAGAAGACGCACAGAGTCCTACTACCTTAAAATTCGACAACATCATTTTCTTGTGAATATACGACGGTAGATTTCCACACGTACTGTCCTCCTGCAGAACAAGACTAAAATGGTCTTGCAAATCAGAACAGTTACAGTAGGGGACAAGAAGATCACATGGGAAAGCAATTCAATATACAGACCGAAATAACAGAGATGGTCCTGCTGCCCCTCGTGACCGACGTTCTCCAGCACAGCTGGCGGCATCCAACTCTGCTGTAGTCGTCATCGATTGGTGTTTTGGACAGGCCAGGACGACAGTTATCGGCGCTGCATTACACTGTAGTCCGTTCGTTTAGGCCATCCTTTTCTTCAATAAAACTATTGTTCCTTCCATAGTCCATTCTAAATTATTAGTTCTTACTAGTACTGTTGAAATGTGGAACTATTGCATAGCAACTTTGCATCCGTTGCGGGAGCCTCTTGGTTGGGAATGGACCCCGATCCTGCTCTGACACACTTGTATTCGTGCAGTAGATGGGCGGACGCCGATCCAGCTGAGGTGGGTGCAGATAGCCTATTATTCTATGGAATACCTTAACATCTAGGTCTATTACGAGATAGATCTGTCTTGTAGTTACCCATTACGATCATGTATTTGTTAAAATTGTGTGTCAGTTAAAACTGTGACTTTTAGGTGATCGCCGAGTATATCCGAATAGGGGAAGAGACTTGCCGAGAGCTCAGGTTGTTAACACATATTGAAGATCTCGCCTACGAGGATGACGGGTACAGGGGTCAGCAAACTATCCTTTTGGAAAATCTTTATTGGGGTGTTGCTCATTCGTTTATTTTCTTGTTTATTTTTCTAAAGAGGGTCTTTACATTCCTCACAATCAAGAAGATAACACCAAATAAAGAAGACGAACTAAGATGAAAGATGAATAACAACAAGAGAGTAGAGCTACTTTCAACTCATCTATAATCACTATCTCATTTTTATTCATATTTTTATTCATGTATTTAGGAAAGGACAGCAGAAGCATGGTGGATATATGGGGTGAAGTGAAGGACCATCTGGTAATTTTCATTCATGGCGGTTTCTGGCAGGTCTGTTCAGATCATCGCAAGCGATTAGTTATATGCATATATTTCAATAACCTGTCTTAGGGAGGAAACGTGCTACCAGGCACAGTCTCCATCTGACCTGGGTTTCGGTAGCCTTATAAGGTTTTTCTTCCTGGTGTTCCAAGTACCATTCTGGCGTTCGCTGGTCATTGCAGGTCGGAGTTGGGTTGCAGAAGTTTTTAATCTCGCAGCTAATTCTCTTCTACGTGCAGATTCCCAACGTAACCTTACTTTTTGCCGGGTTTTCCGATGGAGATGTTGCTGATTTTGCCATCTTGGGTATGTGTGTACGGGTTGAAGCAAAGTTCTCAGCCTCCTGAAATTCAAAATCTGATCAAACCATGCCTATTTGAAGTTTATTGAAAGGGGAGTTCGATTAATGTTGTACCAAATTTCCACCAGTGCACCTTGTAAATTTGCCAAGAAAAGACCTTTATAATGGATCTCATTTGGCAGTGTTTGTTAGCTTTATGTTTGAGAAGAAACGACGAGTCGTTAGATGTGTAGACGAGGAATAAATCTTTGCAGGAGGGAAGCAGAAAGTTGGTCAGTCCAGTAGCCGTAAATCTCGTCAAAAGCGGTGTTGCAATGGCGGCAGTCGGCTACGAACTCGCAAGCAGTACCTGGCCGTTGTCCGCTGTTGTACGGCAAGTTGGGAGGGCTGTGGAAGTGGGATTTTACTTCACGTTTGTACTTGCTCGAACTATCTGTAATTCATCTATGAAAAAATTGTTAGGATATTCGAAGTGTCACAAAATAGGAAAGGCCTTAGAAGGTGACAAGTTCCAGAAAATGAAATCTGTTAAAACATAAATTTCTCAATGTTAACTTTTTATTTACTGCCTATTGCAATTGTTCACGGAAAGGTATTATGTGTGATATAACCACAATGATGCTGAGATAGTCGCAAAACTCCGGACCACGCGCATCTGAGGTGGGGAACGAACCTACCGTGAAAAATTGTAATAGGCGGTAAATAAAAGTTAGCCGTATGATTTCGAATGTAGCCTCAGCTTAACTCAGTTCGCTGCAGATTTGGGCTCCCCAGATCAATCCCGTTGACGGGTGGTTGCCGATGGCACTGGTAGATAGAGAACCAGCTGAGAGAAAGGCGAAACGAGGGATCCGCATGTTGTGGTAGGTCCGCGTTAGTCCGCCGACAACCGCCGTTCGGAGTTTTGCAAATATCTCAGCATCATCGCGGTTGTGTCTCACATAATACTGTCCCGTGAAAAATTGTAGTAGGCAGTGAATAAAAAGTTAACTTTAGTTTCTATTTTCTGAGTGTTCTTTTTTCATGGCAGGGTGCGATGTGGACTAGAACCATAGGGATGCCGACATGAGCAAAACTCGGAAGCTTAATTAGGCTTCGAACTCGCGGTTACTCTTACCGGTAATTCACGCGCTTTCCACTGCTATCTGCTATGTCAGCATCCTTATAGTTGTATGTTACATCGTCATTGCCGTGGCAAAAGAAACGCAAAAAATAAAAGTTAAATCATTGTGATTTTAATCGCAGTTACAACTTAACAGGGTTCACTGCCGATTTGCGCTTCCCTAATCATTCCTATCATTGACGTATGGTGGCTGATAGCACCGTCAGAGTAATAAATCGGCTGAGTGAAAGGTAAAGCAATAATCTCAGTTCATGTAGTGCGCAGCACGTGACCCCCCTGAAAGGGTAATCGCGGCTTCGTAGCCCAGTCGAGGTTCCGAGTTTTGCTCCTATCCCAGAGCATCCTAAAAGTTTTCATATTTTTAACACTACATATGATGGACATTTAGCTTAACCAGCCCCTTTATTGTCTCTTTTTACAATTGAGCGACGATCTTCGAATTTTCATTAGAAAGAAAAATTACGGGGCGGCTTCTCATCTCATGTTTTAGTTTTCAATCTCCAGTCTTTACTTGCTTTCCATAAAATTTCCTTATAATCGATACTGCTGATTTTTTTAAATTGTACTCTTTTACTTGTCATTATTTCTCAAAAGTCCCAAATTTATCATTTAACTTAGTATCCGACTGCTTCTCATTCCTCGAATTCAGTTCCTTCTCGCGAAGTATCCGACCGTCACGTACATAACATTAGCTGGCCACTCAGCAGGCGCTCAACTGGCTTTCAAAGGTTTGTGGTGTTTCGATATTTAGATGGCGCAGTCGTTTGCCTACTAGGATTTAGTGACTGGATTTCGCCCGTGTGATAGATTTAATACCGAATAGCTCCGAGCCTAGATAGCGAGCTTCCAGCTGACGGATATGAGGTTAAATTGGGGTTAAAAGCGCCCAGGTACAAGCTATGAGTTGTTGAACAGTTCACAGGATGGGCACACTATATTTCCCTGCCTTCGCATATTTCGTCCTATTTCATCAAGCTGCCTTCAGCCTACACCCATCTGCGGTCTCCACGTATACAAAAGCTCGCTCTCTTAGCCGGTATTTTCGACTTGCAAGAGTTGCCTTCATGTGAGATCGGTACAATTATTGGGTCCGTATAATTATGTGATATCTCTTATTTCTTCTCCTTTTTTCAGTGAATTTTGTGCTTTACAGTTTAACCCGTGAAGAAGCGGAGCTGAACTCGTGTAGCGCGTTCGAGTTAGTCAATACGGAAGTTAAGGTGTTGTTGCTTATAGATATGAAAGTAAGTGAACACTCATTCATATATTTTGAAAATCTTTTTCTAACAAAATATAATTCTCGCTAAATTGAAGCTTAGCAGCTGTAAGGTGTTAGTGAGTAACCTATGAAGGTAAAATTCTGATAAGTTAACTGCTGGTGTTTCATTGAACACATTTCAAAATCTGCTCAGAACGCCCTATACCACGCACCAGAACAGTCTTTTAATCAATAATTTGCTGTTTTCTTGACAAACAGACAAGAGGTTACGTTATCACGCTATTGGCCATAGTTGACCTTCGGTGGTATCTTCTTCAGTTCCTGGAGAGGCCAAATTACATATAATCTACTCAGTCAAACACTTCTATAATTTCAGCACGTAAAACTCGATGCGTAAATTCGGATTCGCGTAGTAGACAGCTTCTTTTAAGCATACGTCATTTTGGCTTTTGTTCTTTGTAAGTATTCGATGGAGACCAGCTGCATAGAGTTCTACGCAGGTAAGGAATGCACCTGGCTCAGGTCGAAAAATCAGCGCGAGGTATACCGCGAGCTAACACGTAATCACGAGGCACTCTTCCTTGTGGCTCATTTTTGGGTTTTTGAAATTTGTCCAATACGCTTCGAGTTTTTCGCGCTGTTGTTTATTCTTGAACGAGCGCAGTGACCTCTGCGTCAAAATCCTCTCCATTATGTCTGTATGTGCTGTGCGCGCAGTGTAGTGCTTGGTCTAACTTCAGATTTAGCGACAAGGTGTTCTGCTGCACGGAAGCCCAGTGGTCTACCCGTTTTGTCAATGTATTCGATCTCACACGCCGTACAAAAGATTTGGGACACCGTACGCAAACTTACGCAATCACTGTCTCTACTCTCGGGGAAATTGCGCAATTTTGCGTTTCTCATATTCAGCTGCTATGAACAAATACTTTAACAACAACCTCATGTCTATTCAGCAAAACAGCGGATTATTGATTAATACTGAGGTCGAAAGGAAGTCGAACCTGAGATTTCCTACATGAAATCTTCGTATCCTCGAACAACCTATGATAAATGGAAGTGTGATTGTTGAAACGTGACGCACTAGAAGTTGGTCAGCTTTTCTTTTCAGGATTCTCCAAAGCTCATTGAACAGAATACATGCATGGTCAACGCAATGAAGGATGCCGGTGTTTCGGTCCAATACCATGTACTTTCTACTTTAGATATTTAAATTAAAACATAATTCGCGATACTCAGTACAATGCATCCGATGTGCTCCCTTCGACTTTGAACCGAAACATCCCACCTTGTACTGAATGTCAGTAATTAAAGTAATCAAATCTATTCGGATATACAAATCTTCCGACAAGGTCCAAGTTTCGTGATCCCAAAAAAGCTAAATTCTGGTTTTATGAAGCTCGTAAATCCCACTCCATGGCCTTTTTTCCCGTCACGGCTCATATTTCTAACACGAAAACAACTGAATAAGTGATTTCGTGCAGAAGCACACTATGGCCTCTCCACGGTGTCAGTTGCCTTGCCGTGCAAGCTGACACTTTAAAAAGCTGTGTACTCCATGTTTCAATTTTCTAACTAACCGCCATTTAGCCAAGGTAGCAAAACTATCAGCATATATTTAAATTGTTAAGCTTACACGAAGTTGATACGGAGATTTATTCAGCTAGCGTTTCGACTTCTTCGTCTTCATTAGAGTCGACGATCCGAGTCGGTGGTCCCAAGTTGTTCTCGATGTGCCGTCTTCATAATCGCACCGAAACGGATCTTCTTCAGTGAACATCGCACGAATGAGGCATGTACAGCTGGTAGTGCTCTTTATCCGTTGAAAAACACTATTATCAATGGATAGTCGTATCAACAACAACCGCCCTATATAAAAAGAGCGTTGTCGGGTGAGTGTGCCTCATTCGTGTGGTGTTCACAGGGGAAGATTCGTCTCGGTGCGACTACGAAGACGCCACATCGAGATTACAAACAACTATGAACCACCGACTCGGAACATCGGATCTGATGAAGACGAAGACGTCGAAACGTTAGCCGAATGAAAATTGTTTTCCAACTTCTTGTAACCTCTAAAATTTAAACACTCTGTGTTTAATTCCAAATAGAGTGAAGGCAAAGATCGATAGAGCTAGCTGAGAGACAGGCGAAACGAAGGACCCGCATGATGTGGTGGTGAACGCGGTACTCCCCGGAAAGGACAATAGCGCGTTCGTTCCCCACCGCATATATCTGCGGTCCGGAGTTTTGCAAATATCTCAGCATCATTGAAGAGTGAAGGTGCTTTTATTTTTTTCCAAGTGTTGTGTTTTGGTCAAATGTGTGATCAAGAGCGTTCTATTTATCACAAACATGTTCTTCCAGGAATTGAGCGAATGCGATCACTTCAGTCTCATCCATGGATTTCGAAACAGCGAAGCGGAACAAGTGCGAACATTCCTGTCATTCCTCTGTTATGAAGCATGACATGGGCCATCATCAGCAGATACTTCATCAACTGGAACTTATCCTCATTGGAATAAAACTAGACGAAAGTCGTTCATTGCTGCATATAAACTATAAGGTGTTTTCCATCATTGAAATGTTAGAAACCACTAACATTTGCCAACAACGGAACGTAAAGTTTCATTTGATCTTGCCCAACTATAAACCGTAGAACTAAAGCTTCAGTAAGCATTTATGGGCTATGCAGATATCCGTGACTCACTGTTGCATATATATATACATACATACATACATATATACATCTATGCATAGGTATCTATGCATATACACATCTATATATACATATATATATATATATGTAGAGAAAGAGAAACGCAATGGTCGGAGGCGCCCTGCAATACACGTGGGGATCGACCTCTGCGTCCTAGCCTCATTAATCCCTCCATCTCTCCTGGGTCAGCAAATTGCTACCAGACTTCTCTGGAAGGACAGTAGCACTAGCTCGATACATCGGTAGGCCACTGCAAGTCATTGTAAATGTAATCTAAATAAATAAATGAATCACCTCCAAGATGTATATATATATATATATTGTGATTTCGCCATAGCAAACTTTACTCATGGGATTGCAAGCAACGTTAATGGTAACCAGAGGTGTTCGTGTTCTATTGTAATTGATACGTACTTACTTGGATACTTGGACGGCCCGTCTTAACTGGTTGTACAGGCTCCAGCACAATTCCCATTCTCCGGAGATTTACTGGATTATGGTTTCTGGAATCCAGACGACAGCCTGGTCAAAGTCTGCTCCAGATCGTAGCCACCACAGGCAGTCGCAGCCTTTGTGGATCAGGGAGAGATTTGCCACCATGCGACTTGTTTGGTAGCTGGACGGTGGTGGGGCCCCGTATCGGTTTACTCTTAACTGAACTTCCTAATGGAAACGCCGGATCTCCTCAGTTTGGGAGATCCTGCCGGGAGAATGAACTAACCCGTCTGCTGCATATCGCAGCCCAACGGTCAGGGACACCAACGATGAGACGTTAAGCGGTAAACTGTTGGGAGGGTTGAGGGGAGAAGTTGATAGTGGTTAGTGAAAACAATTTCCACTCTGGAAGTCTAGTATTGGAAGAGGTGAAAGTAGTGCTGATAAAACACAAGGAAATAGTAAACGTATTGATGCAAACAGATACTGGAATGCTCGTGCACAACCGAGTTCTTTCAGGCTCAGATGGTACTTGACGCTCCATGGCGTGTTCCTTCCTCACCAAACACTTCCGGAAGGTCCGTCTTCGAAACGCCCCACCAAACACCATTATGCTGTGTTATTTCGTTCTATCATGTGTAAATGTACTTGAATGAAGCGTTTTCACTCGATTCCAATGATGATCACTATATAGAAGTGGTAGAGTATAATCGGAAACTTTTATTAATTGCGATGGATGAGGAAGAATCTGACGATCTGGTCTTTAACACTGATTACTACAATATGAAGATTCGAGACAGTTGTTCCACACATGCCGCATCTGCTATGCTGGAGGGACCCACTGACCCACTCTGATCTACTATAAAGATGAAAAAGCATAAAGGTCTTGGCGTCCATCAACTCTTGAGGGATGTGCCATGCATTCGACTTAACTAGGCATCGTTGGAGGTGACTGAATGCATATCTGGCCTTTACGATGATTTATGAGGATCCACCGATGCGTCGAGCCAGTGCTGCTATCCTCTCAGACAAGTCTAATACCAATTTGCCGACCTCGGAGGGATGGAAAGCCTAGTGAACCTGGGGAGTTGGGATTGATCCCATGTGTATTGCAGGGCGCCTACGACCACTGCGCTACACGCACCCTGTTCTGAATCTACTATATGAAGTTATAATCATTACTATTACTCGGTATTGAATACCACTACAAGATATTTTAGCTGAAGCCATATCCTCCAACCAATGAAAAACGTTGCCGGGGATGACGACAAGGTGCTCAAGGCGTGCGGACGAGTTTTCGCCCGTCCTCATCCAACCAATTGCGCGAAATCGATGTGCTCTAAAACGTAGCTCTACGGGTTCCAACGCTTGCCTGACCAAACGATCTCTGTGGGAGTCATACAATACGGGAGTGGTACCGGCTTTCAATTTCGAATTAAGAAATCCCAGTTCGTAGTAAATTTCACTGCTTGCGATAAAGATCGTGAAAATCTGCAAATCTTTGCCTAGACGATAGAGGTTCTCTTGTTCTGTCACCATGAAATTCTTCCTTTCTGTGGCCCATGACATTTATGCTTTCTCCACCACATCGGGACTCATCGTTCGAACTTGCAAACCAAAGAGCAAGCACAATTGCGATCGTCATGTCACATTAGTGTCCCCTTCGTATCATTTGTGTTTGCACGTGCCGCTTTTTCATTGGGAACTTCAAAACTTAGATTTTGTCTTCTATTCCTGGGAAGTTTCTAGTGTCATCCATTTCTTGGAAGCGTATCTAACTTTCGAAGAGCACTATATGATTGTATATAGGATTAGTGCGATAGAGTGAAGTCTCGTTTGTAGTGTTTTCAAGTTCCGGACTTCTGAAATTCTCTGGTGATAGCGAACTTGTCGTCAGTAATCCAGCTTCATCACGAAATTGTTAATGGTATTCTTCAGGTCGTTGCACTAGCGATTCGTTTGGAACTACAATACCGAAAGGTTGCCGTTAGTTTTCTTTCTTTAGTTTCCAGATCTTAGGTTTTTGATTTTGCTGTGAAAGTGGTTTAACTTTGAATGCCAACTTTAGAACGATTGTCTTTCTATTGGTTGTCTTATGTTTAGGTTGTACATTGGATATGAGTGACATCGCACGACAGAGAATCGATTCCAGGTTGGGTCAGGGGATAAGCAAACAAGAGGTGAGACACTTAACCTCCATCATTCGTCTTCAAAAGTTGAAGCAAATTAATTTGGAAGGAACGTTCTATCTGTTGAATGAGGAGCTTTACAGTGAAAGCAGCGGCTTTTTCTTAAACCATGGTGAATTTTTTGTTTGTTTGTTCTAGATGAGGAGCTTCCTTAAGTTCATTCTCTTTTACATATTCACATGATTTAAAATTCTTTGTCGCGATGAATACAGGATTATCCCAGCCCCTAGTTTCCCATTAGTTTTCCGAATATCCTCCTAGTTTCCACTTACTTTCTCAGTTTTCAATACTGGCGCATAATTCAAATTTAATATGTAAACGTAATGCATCGTTTTTTTTACATGATCGGACACCACATTTATCATACAGTGAGCATCACAGTATTTCTTGTGGATTCATTTCCTCGCGTTCATCGTCTGCGAAGATCCTCTAACTTTTGCGTTTGGGTCCAGTTGTTGCCTAAGGATTTTCGTCTTCGTTATGATGCCGCTAAATGCTTGTTGAATCAATTTTCCCTGGTATCCGGACATAGTCGTGCTACCCCATGGATTAGAGCGAGTAGGGTTGTCTCTGACAAGTCTGGTACCAATTCCTTAACACCTGACGGATGGAAGGCTTGTTGCGGTCGATGTGGTTTGTACCAGCTCGTTGCTCGCTATGAACAACATCACCACTGCGCTATCCACTCTCTATATATCATATTGCAATTAGTAAGCAGCTGTTTTGAGTGTCATATAACCTTTAGCTATTACTTTATGAATAGTGGTTCTTCGAATTCGTGAAAATATCCAGTGCATTTTAGCCAGTGGCTTGAAGACCGTTTTGGTTTATCGAAAACTACTATTTTCCGTCTACTAAGCCGTTATACGGCAA